TGGGCCAGGGGAGCCCTCTTTTATGGGATTCCCCTGGCTCGTAATCACACAATTCCATTGGCTGGTAAGACCCCGTTGCGAGTTAGCCAACCAGCAACGGGCATGAAACTGTATGCAGATGGAGAAGGGCAATCACCCTTAATGGGTGATCAGGATGCGCATAGGGGATTAAGGGGGGGAATACAAAAGAACACAACATCAGGCATCCGAGCAACTTACATATCCATTTGCGGACGCATAGCGGGGAACGACCTTATCAGTGTCCCGAATGCGGGAAGGCTTTTTCCCAAAGTTGCAACCTTCGGACTCATCTCAAGATCCATATGGGTAACAAGCCGTACAAGTGCTTTGTCTGTGGCAAGTCCTTCTGCCATAGCTCCAATCTCACTATCCATCAGCGAGTACACACTGGAGAACGGCCTTATCCTTGCTCGGTCTGCTCCAAGCGTTTCAGTGACAGGTCCACCCTGGTGCAGCACGAAAGGACCCACACCAGCGAGAAGCCCTACGCTTGTGCAGTCTGTGGACAGAGGTTCAGCCAGATATCTCACCTCGTGAAGCATGGCCGCATGCATCCAGATATCGCTGACCCAGCAGGGCCCACTAAAGACCCATCTTCCAACACTTCCGAGGGGGTCTTCATGCCACCTGATGGAAAAGCCCCTTTCCGAATGAAGGGTGAGAATCCACCCTCATCAGCTGAGAATCTTGCCTGGATTTCAAAAACATGGGCTTCTTCTTCCAAGGCTAACGGTCAGCAGAATTGCACCACTACATAGAGGTGGCTGGGCATCCTGGGAAGCCAAAAGAGAAACCAAGGCTTGCAATGGGCAAAAGAAATGGCTGGCAGAGAAATAGTAACAGAAAACATAGGAAGGGATGAGAGACTTGCTAAGGCTGCAGGCCTCCCTTGCAATCGATCTGCTGTAAATTGCTAGGCTTCATTATCACATTCAGAGGAACATCTGAAAAAAAAATAGTCCAGGTATGGTATACAGTCTATAAAAAAAACCCAAATATTTTCACAACATTCTCTTTCCTTAGCATTTTTTCCTTTAAAACAAATATTTCTCATTCCTAAATATTTGACTAGCCTTTTGTGCTGCCATCATCTCCAGGGATTAACACTGCATATGGAAACAGACAACAGGTGGAAAACTCAAAAGGCATCGTTGCTCCCTTAGTCATTATCACAAAAACGGCAAGAAAAAGCTTCTTGTAAAATGTAAGGAAAGTGCATTGTGTTTGCAACCAGTAATATTCAGTAGCTGCTCCTGAGTTTGAGCAAATGAGGAAAAGAAATGAGGAGAGAGGCTCGTGGAGTCAAAGAAGAGCTACCTGAAGACAGAGCCAAGATACTTTTGATACCTGTTAAGGGTAAAGCCAGCATATTTTTAATTTTTCCTACCTCTGGAATTGCAGGGCATCTTCTACACCAGGATTTCCCAACCTT